AATATTTATTTTTTTCCTTTTTTTCTTTTTTTTCCACTTTTTTTTTTGGTTCTCTCCCTCCTTCCTCTGGCCGGTCGCCGGTCCGCGCGACCGGCCAGAGGCCGGCGAGCTCGACCTCGCCGACCACTGGCGAGGGCGAGCCTCGCCTTGGTCGAGCGAGGCTCGACCTCGCTAGATCCGGCAAGGTCGGGCCTCGCCCGACCATGGCGAGGCTCGCACACGCCGGAGGCCGCGGCGAGGGTGAGCCTCGCCATGGTTGGGCGAGGCCCGACCTCGCCAGATCCGGCGAGGTCGATCCTCGCCCGACCAAGGCAAGGCTCGAGCCCTCGCCGGAGGCCGCGACGAGGGCGAGCCTCGCCATGGTCGGGCGAGGCCCGACCTTGCCGGATCTGGCGAGGTCGAGTGTCGACCTCGCCAGATTCGGCGAGGTCGAGTGTCGACCTCGCCAGATTCGGCGAGGTCGGGCCTCGCCCAACCAAGGCAAGGCTCGAGCCCTCGCCGGGCAAGGCCGCCCTCGCCGGCTTCTGGCCGGTCGCCGGACCGGCGACTGGCCAGAGGAAGGAGGAAGAGAACAAAAAAAAAAGTGGGAAAAAAAAAAAAAAATAAAAATTCAAAAAAATATTAAAATATTATTAAAGTTGTCCACGTCGGCGCCGGTGACCGGCCGCCGGCTGGTAGGCGTCCACGTCGGCAAATTCCGATCAAAATTGGCCGAAAGAACTAAATTGGCACAAAAACAAAATGTTTATGACTGAATTGGCACCAATTTAAAAGGTTTAGGACTAAATTAGCACCAATGTAAAAGGTTTAGGACTGAATTGGCACCAAAAAAAGGTTTAGGACTAAATTGGCACTAATGCAAAAGGTTTAGGACTAAGTTGGCACTAATGCAAAAGGTTTAGGACTTTTTTGGCACTTTTCCCTGTTTTTTATAGTACCCTTTAAACATGAAATAAAAAGTAAGCGTTGCCTCGATGTTATTTTGACTATATATAATCCTTGACCGATCCATGATATTCGGTAGGTGTATAAGTTTCGATATTGCTTAAAACATGAGAATGCTATGTATACACATTGATCTATTTAATGAATACGTGCATCTTATTTCCGGTCTCACTCTATATAACTTTAGTACCATAGTGTTGTTCTTCTCACAATATTCTCCGACAGAAAGACTGTTTCAAGAAGAGGTGGTGTTGTGGAAAACGGTGGGCAATCAGCTAGTCCTTAGTGAGATTTTTCCTCATTTTCGGGATCTTGATGTCCGAGATCGGGTTGAAATTCATCGACAAGCATCATTGTTTTACGGAAAAATAATAATTATTGGCGAGATTAATAAAATGACACAGATGTGGTCTGACGGCCACGAATGAAACCGGTCACATGACATTTTGGACCTTTTAGTATATGAAAACTAGACCAAACTTTTGTTTATTAGAACTACACGAAGTTTCATACTTCCCCAAAAGGAATGACTACTTTGTCTGTTGACCTCGCGAATCTAACAACAGAACCCAATCAGGACATACGTGTTATCAATGATATGATCTTGTTTTTATCGTTAATGAGCGCCCCAACCATGCTTAATAGATCATATTTTTTATTTATAATTCTCTAATGACACGAAAAATACAACGCATTGAAAATGATAATCGTTCCTTTATTTAGTGCCATGGCACTTGTTAACAAAAGGCTATTATAATTTTAAGCTAGTTTTTTTCTCCTTAAACTAAACATAATGATTAGTTCTTCTTGCTTGGAGAAACATTAAGAAAAGATGTCGCATATTGATGTTAATTACATGACACTATCGGAAACTTGTGATGGAATTGCTATCTAGTTTCTAGAGTTAAATATACTTGCTTATGAAGAATGCTCACTAATTAATTTGCGAAACATGCTCCCATGAAACCTAGAAGCACTTTGAACTGTCTCTGGACATGCAGTGTGATACTGACAGCTTGGCACGTGAAAAGCAGCTGTAAGGGATGTGACTGAGCATAATCAAAGTCGAAAGCTAGGCCCATGCACAACTTTTGTATGGTGATGAAAAGACCTCCACATTAAGTATGCCGACTTATGATCTACTATTTGAAATTTGTTTTGTTATGACGTTAAATTATGTCTCGAATTTAAGTTTATGTACGATATGCGATTGATAAGAACAAGCCTATATTTTAGGCGTCTTCTAACTTGGACTTTATCTCCAAGCATATTCAGTAGAGTCCATAATATGGTAGAGTCTGATCTTGAATTAACAAAAGAAAAAAAAATTAAGGTTTTCTAGATTTAGTCCCCAATTCACATAAAACATATGAATATTGAATTTTGCTCAATGATTACATATTAGAGCAAATAAGATAAGTGTTAGGGTTTTATGCTCTTTGTGAGAGATTGAGGTAACACTTGTATTTAGATACTGACATTTGGATTGAACCACGTAAATCTTTAGTGTTCATTATTGTACTCTGATAATTTTTTATTCTAGCGTTAGACTTAAATTACAAGATCCATTAGGTTTCGAGTTATTTAACCACACATACGATGCATATAGTAATATAACAAAATGAAATGCAAAATTATCCTAAATAAGGCATACATAAAGTAGCTAGGGTGTGTCACCACGATTGTCATAGAACCAACATTGTCATAATCCTTGCAACTAACAGGTCGGATTTCGGTCAGTTCACGTAACTTAATAAAAATAACTCTTAGCTAATGTTATCTAAGAATGGCTTTGGTAATTAGATTCATCATAGTTGTTAAAAAGTCCAACCGGCAAACTTAAATTAATAGATGGATGGAAGCCAGATGAATAGCCCGTTGAAATCCCATAGACATTCAATGCAAGATATCATAACAATAGTTTTGTAAAATCTATGTTGAATCACCATTCAGCGGGGCAAGCCTAGCTGCTTATAATAGTACTGAACTCAATGATTTTGAAAGATCGTAAGTTGTAATATTTCTACTCAATTAGTAAGTCTACTAAACAAACGTAGGTTTAATATCCCTTGAATTCTTGGTATTTGATTGAGAGGAAACCCCACCAAAAAAAGGGAGCTTGCGCTTTTACAAGGGATTTTGCGGCTTGTTCCCATTATATGGGTCAAACTCTACAGATGTGTTTCTTATTTTAATATGTCGATGCCGCATGCTTTGCACACCTAATTTTTATTGTATCTTTTTCTTTCCCATAAAGAAGAAAATATATTTTAAAAAATTTACATCCCGATGGTCTCGAAATCTGAACAAAAATTGAGATGAAGTTTTTTAAAGATCTGCTAATGTCCATTGCATCGTACTTTGATAGCCTGAACTTTTAGAAAAAAGATTGCCTTGCACTGCACTTTCTACCTAAACTAATGCTAGTACTTTTTTTACAAATGAGTATTTGCAGTTCCAACATGTGACCGAGTGATCAATCACACCATATCCAATGTATGATAATATCTCCAGGCTCCATCTATATCCTATCGAAAGCAACCGCAGCACTTTTCCTAATGGGAAAGCAACAGAAGTCAAGTCGAGAGAAACGCTTCCAACGACATCCTCCGATGGATCTTCGCATCAAAAAGCACTACTTGCTCGAGCCAACACCTTCTAAGTCACGTTCACTTTAATATCAATCCTTATATCTCCATGCATGGAAACATGTAGGGACTAGGCAGCAGCAGCTAGCTAAGCTAGCTAGCCACAGATGGGGGCACAAATCACGAGATGTCCGAGACTCAGCTGCGTCATAGGTGTCGCACGAAACCTGGAACTGTGACCACCCTCCCTCCCTCCCTCGCTCGAAATGCACTGGGTCCAATCATGCCCGCGACAACCTAATCCATCCATCCATCCATCCATCGTCAACATGCAGAAACTCCCCGCTTGTGTGTCGTATCGAAAACCAGATATTTTCATTACCAGCGTACGGCCCCCGGTTTTGACTCCCCACCCTCCTCTCCCCAACCAACCACCCCACAACTTGGGCCTGACAACTGCATGGCAACTTGCGCATGTCCAATCTCTTCACGTATGACTCGGAGAGAGAGAGAGACAGAGAGAGACAGAGACAGGTCGAGCAATCGAGGGATAGCCATGTGAGACTCTTGATGAGTTGGGACCTCCGCTCATCCCAGCCGTCAATGGAGAACTTCTCTTTCACCCATATATACAAAACCTAGAGACTCCACACTTCCAGCGTTAATAAGCCTAATTCCCTAAAAAATCTTCAATTTTAAGTCAAGTGTCAAACTTGTTCCGAACTTTTTTTATCTCAGAAAAAATCCAAAACTTTAAGTCTAATCTCAAATTTGCCCCAAATTTTATTTTGTGTAAAAAAATACCAAAATTTAATTTATTTTCAAAAATATACCTCCGTGATCTAGTCTCATCTTGATTTGGCATTTCCACGTCAATAATAAACATACATCAATAAAGTAATGGGTTTTTTTAGACAAAGAAAAGTTCTGAGCAAATTTGAATTAAACCTAAAAATTAAGTTTTTTTAAATTAAAAAAAGTTTTTTGGGTAGATTTGTTATCATCCTTAACTTTCATATCCTAGAATATATAGTTTTATTTTGGAAAATTTCAACAATTTTTATTTTGTTTGATTTGTTATTGAAATGGAAATGCGACGTCGGTCTGTACCTATCGTCCCATTACTTTACTAATGTGAATTTATTATCGACGTGAAAGTGCCATGTCAAGTTAGGACTAGATCATGGGAGTATATTTTTGAAAATAAATTGAAATTTGTTGATTTTTTTTACATAAAATAAAATTCGAGGTAGATTCGGGACTGAACTTAAAGTTTGGGATTTTTTCAAAGATAAAAAAAAGTTTGGTGCAGATTTGGACTTTACCTAAAGTTGAGGGATTATTTAGGGAATTCACCCCGTCAAGAAGAGAACCACCAAAAAGAGCTTAGACCATCGCCTTTATAACTCTTTTTCCAACGCATACGCGCACACAGAGAGCTTGAAGATTGATAAATCAGTTGAGTCCATGGGTCTTCTTCGCTTGCCGTCCGTCATTGCCAACACAAAGCAAGTCATGAAGTTGCAGTCTCTCTTCACTGGGAACAACCATCACCACCGCCGTCGATCTTGCTCCGATGTGCCGAACGGCCACGTCGCCGTCTACGTCGGGGACGTCCAGAGGAGGCGTTTCCTGGTTCCAGTGACATTCTTGAACCACCCCTCATTCCAGGAATTGCTCCGCAGAGCCGAGGAGGAGTTCGGGTTTGACCACCCGACTGGCGGTCTCACTATTCCGTGCAAAGAGGAGGCCTTTATCCAACTCACCTCCCAGTTGCATTCTTCGCGCCGATCATCAAGAAACTAAAGATGGCAAATTTTTTTGGAAACGCCTTACTTTTGTTTGCCTTTTTGCGTGTAATATGTATAGATAGTGTTAACATAAGATAGGTGTATCTGTAGCGACGGCTGTCACAGTACGTACGTCGTCTTCTCAGCACCGGAATTATATTCATCTTATTTTGATGAAAGGAGTTCTTGATTTTGCACGTTCATCAGATTGGGGTTCATGCCATGCGTACGTTGCTGTCATTTGCTCTGTAATGCAGTTTCAAGTTTCAACAACACTATAGCTAATATCTCAGGATGATTATAACGGTATGCATACCATAGACTAATTAGTGGAATGAACATCTGAAGAAAGCACGTGCTTGGAGCTTAGATAATTAAATTGGTTGTTGACTAAGTCCTTTACTTATGCATTCAATACTTATCATGTCATCTTACAGTCAATCAAATTTGTAAAACTAAACTTAGTTTTACCGGTACGGGTATCACCAATTTTAGTGTAAGGAGCTACGCTAACATCAGCTCCATTCATATATGACACATTTTTTCCGCCACCAATGACACCAATGTTATACGAGGCACAATTTTACTGCACGATGAGAGCATCATCGTGTTGCCCAGCCACAAAGTAACACCATCTCTCAGGTATATAAATAGTACATGAATATAGTTATGCTATTCCTTATGCAAACTCATCTAGTGTTCGTTTCATAATATTGTGACACGTGTTCACTCAATTATAGATTTCACCTTCCTTAATCCAAGACCCTAGCACACATATCCCTTTTCTCTCTCCTCCTCCGCTTACCCTCTCAGCCGCGCCTCATGCTTGACCACCGCCCCTCCCCATCGTTCCTGAATGCAAAATCCGCGCTCGGATCGGGCTTAGCCGCCACCGCTTGTCAAGCTACGCCACAGGCCACCGCAGTTGCCACTATCTTCTTCCCGTCTTTCCCCTGTGCTTTGGGGACAGCTCCAGGTTTGAAGGCCTCGACCTCCGGCCGGCCTTGGAAGCTCTACGCCGGAGTTGACTTAGAGAGAGAGAGAGAGAGAGAGAGAGAGAGAGAGAGAGAAAGAGAGAGAGATGTCTTTTAGGGTTGGTTGATAGGATTTGATCTGGTGGGGTTGAGCACAAATAGAGTGTCCACATATCATCATCTCATGCTTGAAAAACATATGGAACTAGCATGGGAAACAACATATCTGCGTCCATAATACATCTAGTCTTCCTAAGGAGATCATTCATAACTATTCGTACGTGAGATATTTCCTTAATTTTTCACTGGTCACATTTCTAGTAAAAGTTCTTTTAAGAATAAGTTATCTTTTTATGTGACTAGTTAAATGATACATGCAACATGTCACTTATCCAACGGTGAATGTGTAAAAAGTTCTTTACACTGACGTAATAATAAATCCGTTTATCTTGATACTGTTATTATCTATAACCATTTGTCATTCCTTTGGTTGTGTAATTTGGAGCTCTATTAACCATTCCTTAAAACGTCATTACAAAACGAGTCTTTTGCTCTAAGGTGAATTTCTAACCGTGTAATCCCTTTACATTTCCATGTGATTGAGATGGCTAAACGAAATTATTACTGTTAATTATTTCTGCCAATATAAAATGTTCAAGCGCACCGCGATATCCCGAGCCAAACTCAAAGCACAAAATTGATTTCATATCTTCCATATATTTAAGTCAAAACCTCAGTTATCTCATTTTTTGGATTTTCCATTGTTAATCTGGCATCAAATTATACAAAAATTAAAATTAGCCATTGCTCTCTATTGACATATGTTTAGTAACTACCCACTATATCCACAGCTACATAAACTCAATTATTTCCAAAAAAAAGAATAATCTCTTGTCTTCATACATATTCTATCGACGATCACGCATGCGCGTAGCTCGGTCTCGACATAGTTTGATGATAATGGTATTAAATTACCCCAACATGACACATTAATTTATCCAAAAAAATAGGCATCATTATTCTAAGATATGACGACTTAATAACATAAATATAGAATTATAAATTGATGATTGTGAGTGCTCGCATTGGCAGCGGATCAACCCTAATCTTGACCAGGAATCTGGAAAATGCTTCAGGAAAGAACCATGTGATGTGGGGTCCTATTGCGGGGCAATGCGTATAATATGTATACTTAACACAGAAGAAGAAAACCATCTCCCCAAGCAAAAATCCTGCCTCCTCACTATCCACAGTTTTCAGTAGAATGATGAGCCACTTATTACAAAACAGCTTCAAATTCCACTTGCAACTGTGACAACTTCATCTATCATCTTCCTTCAATGCTGCTGATGTATTATATCAGGAAAACTGCGTGGAAATGTAATGAGTCGGACCCTTATCTATCTCGGACGCTATTTCTAACGTCCCTCCGCTTATTGGGTCCTGTATTTTCTTGTCTCTCCCTGCAGGCTTCAAATTCAATTACTCCCCTTGGTTATTAAAAGGATACTATCTTACTTCAATTTTCCAGTGTGCGGCGTTTATTTTTTCATTTGAAGCAAGAATCGGCCTGCGCCATACTTCGTATAAAGGGTTAAATAAATGGGACGAAAATTTGAGTCCCTTGAGCTAAGACTGAGCACAAGAAAACCCACTTGCATCATAATTGAGATAGACATGGGTCCTCTCAGTACTCTGAACAGCCAAACTCGTGGCCACACACACTCATTAATGATTATCTTCACATTTGAAAAATGTAGCACCGTCCTCATCTGTGTATATATAGAAGCACACAAAGGCCGAACCTTCCGCAAGCAAAATATCTGTTTTTGGGTCATCTATCAAAACCAATCCAAAACGACTCTTTCACTTCAAGACTCCACTCTCCGTCGGTAATGGGGATTCGTTTGCCATCTATCGTCTTTCATGCCAAGCAAGTCCTCAGATCGCAGCCGCTCGACACTCGGAATACACGACCGGATGTCCCTAAAGGCCACGTGGCGGTTTACGTTGGGGAGGTCCAAAGGAAGCGGTTTCTGGTCCCGATCTCGTTCTTGAACCACCCTTCGTTCCGAGAGTTGCTGCGCCGAGCTGAGGAAGAGTACGGCTTCAAGCATCCGATGGGTGGCCTCACGATTCCATGCAGAGAAGAGGCCTTCATTGATCTCACCAGTCGGTTGCATGGATTGTGACAGTTTTACTATATACATCTTGTCGTGGAAAGACTAGATTCCCAGTTTTGACATCTTTTCTTAGGTTTGATCCCCTTCGTTTTTCTCGTCTCATGTACAAATCGAGGTCATGTAGAGCATACCACAAGAATAAATTATTATTGTTCAAGCTGTATCTCCGAAACTTCATTGTCAAATGACATTTTTACCTGTTGAAGCCATCTTTTATGAGATTTCTTTTTTATTTTGTCCCAGTTCTTCAAGTACGAAATGAACAATGCATTGTGCTCCATGGGATAGAAAATTCGATACCTTTATACTTTCTGAGAAACACCATCGCTGAAGAAATAGAGTAATTGTAAAGATTGATTTACAAAGAATAATATACGTAACTTATTATTTTCAAGACTCGTGGGAAAAAAATTATAATTGCCATGTGTTTTGGTGTGCTTGTGAAATTATTGCTGCCCTAGAATTGTTCTGTATGAAGGAACAGCAAACCGAACTAAATTTTTCCACTCTATAACATCTGAGACGGGTACAACCCGAAACAGTTCAATTGATCTAAAATGCTCACTTCTATAAGTCAAACTTCAATCATATTCGGATACTTCAACTTCACTTTTTGCCACTAATATTAGAATAGCTTCATGCTAGTCCAAACTACTTTTTAGACGAATGAGTGAATGGTGTTGTAAAAAACCGCCAACCCAAGAGCATTATCCCATTCCAATGTCATTTCTAGTCTCGGATGTAATCTCTGGTGCTTAATCGCAGCAGTATTGTGGTTTTAGAAATAAAGAATACAGTGTGCCGTATTGTGCTTTGGAAATCAGCTCACATTGATATTTGTTGTCACATCATATGTGATTTATTGTTTAGTTACAAGCCAAATTGTGGTTTCAGAAATAGACCATTAAGGGAAAATTATGGAGGCTTTTGGAATTTCCAAAAAGAAAGCAGCATCTGGGTTCAAAATAAAGGAAAATACTAGGCTTCCTAATACCAGTAATAAAAATGGTAAGAGTGATGTGCATTAGGAATGTAATTAAGGCAATCATGCTTTAATATATGAAAATCAATTTTCAAGCCAAGATAGAGTGAAAACATCTCGGGTTATGGTCAACAATACACATTGCGAAACTAGCTTTAATTTGTTTTCAAGATTGATAAATAAAATCATAGACATATAAAATAATTAATCCGTTTTTCAGAGGGATAAACATGGAGATATATGCCAGCGTCTCCAGATAAGTGGTGGAACCCTCATCTATCTTGTCAAAAATCTGACAGATGCTTCATGAGAAAAGCATGTGTTTCTCATGTGATATGGGGTTCTATTGCTGGGCATTCCCTATAATATTCTCAAGTGGGTCGTCAAACCCTAACACGTGAAAATACCATCTCCACCAGCAAAAACAGTCCTTCATCAATACCCAAAAGTTTCAGTAGAACAAATCAAGCCGCTGAAACCGCTTCAAGAACCACTTGCAAGCATGATAAATTCATCTTCCCTCAATGCAATTTTTTCTGTACAATAAGAAAGCTGCGCTGGGAGTGAGCCAACACTTATCTCTCCTTATCCAACATGTGGGGACTCTAAGCTACACAGTTTGGTTGATAACTCTCTGATCCTGCATATGCTATTTCTGACATTAAAGGGTATAATTTATTCCAATTTCAAGTGTGCTGCCATTTGTTTTTGAAGCAATCGAGAGTTGTTTTATATCTGGCCTTGACCTAAAAGGAACAAGTGGGTCTATGAATGATGAGAACAATGAGAGACATCGATCTAACCGAGCGAAAAACCGCTTGAGTCACCTTGAGCTGACAGCAGAAAAGCCACTTGAGTCATAAAATGAGAGAGATATGGGTCCTATCAGTACTCTTAACTGCCAATCTCATGGCAACACACACCCCATATTCATTATCTTGGTATTTGAAAAATATGTACGTAGGACCATGCTCTCTTTTCATTATCTCTTTGGCTACATATACAAGCATCTCAAATGCAAAACCTTCACTTCACAGCCAAGGTCAAGTATCAGTTCGAATCATTCTATCAAAATTAGTCCAAACCAAAATCACTTCCATCTCTTTCGCTTCGATACCACACTATCTTCCAACAATGGGGGTTCGTTTGCCCTCCCTGATTGCTCATGCCAAGCAAGTCCTTAAATTGCGGCCTCTTGGAATATGGAATCAATCGGATGTCCCGAAAGGTCACGTGGCAGTTTATGTTGGCGAGATCCAAAGGAAGCAGTTTCTGATGGGGTTATATCCGAACCGAATTAGAACAATAACACAGATAATAAAAAATTTGACACAAGAATTTGCTCAGGTTTACCCCAGAATAGGGCTACGTCCTGCAAAGGGATTCCACTATGATATTTAGGTTTTTACGACCACTACCACTCGTTACAATAATCTCTTATACGAGTACAATATATATAGGACTTAAAATGGGCCCAAAGCCCAAGCCTATCTAAATTCCTTTGATCCCACAACAAACGGGTCAGCAAACCCGATGTTATTTCAGGGGCGCTGCCCCCGAACCCCCGCCTACTCACCGGTCAGCGGGACTCCCGTGTCGGAGGCGTTGCCCTCGAACCCCCGCATTCCATGTGCAGGGGTCACATGTTGTTGGATCATACTTCGGTTTCCCTAAGCTCATGTGGGCGTGCCCGGTATGAGAAACAAGAGTCTCCGAAGTATTTGCCAACTCCAACAGTTTCTAGTTCCAATTACAATCTTGAACCACCGGTCGTTCCAAAAGTTGCTACAACGAGCAGAAGGAGAGTATGGGTTCGAGCATCCAATGGGTGGCCTCACAATTCCATGCAGAAAAGAATCCTTCATTGATCTCACTACTCTGTTGCGTGGATTATGAAAGTTTTAGTATCATGTCACGTAGAGACAAGATTCACAGTTTTGACATCCTTTTTTTCTTTCCCTTGTGCCTCGTGTAGAAAGCGAGGTCATGTAAAGTAGAGCGCTCTGGAAGAGAGAATTAAGATGTATCTCCAAAATTTCATTTGAACGAAATTACACCTATTTATAAGTCATATTCTGTAATATTTCATGTTTCTCGCCATTTCTTCAAGGAGGAAATGAGCTACAGATTGTGCCTCGCCGGGTTTGAATTTGGGACTTCGTAGTTTTTGAAGAAAAGCACTGATAAGGATATAAAACAATTGTAGAGATTGATTTTGAAAAAAAACTATATACACAAGCTCTCACATCGCCATCACAATTGGGCCGACACATATGAAGAAGAGCATACGCATAAAATGATCACTGCTTGAAGACCAACTAATAAAGTGACTTCAACTTCAGAAGACAGGTAAACAGTCTTCAATAAAGGTCATTAGCGAGAGCTGAAGTTTTCAATGCATATTAGGCCGAAGAGGTGATCAAGATGACTGGACTTGTCTTGAAACTTTTAGGATTATGAGGTTTCTTGAGTACTCTAGAATATTTTTACGAGCAATATTGAAATTGTATACTTATATTCTAGAGTACTTTTGTCATTAGTATGGGTAGTTAGTACATAGGGAGATTGAATCTCCATCATATCAGATCGATGGGGAACGGTTACAATTTGAAGGACTAATATATATATAAAAGGTTCCCTTCCCCTCAATTATAACATTCCACATCCAACTATCCAATATGAGAAAAGCATTGGAAATTTCTCTCCCATAGCACTCCTCTCTCTAAAGTTTCTGTATACGATCCCAGATGGGAGAAATGAGCGAGTAAGGGATAGAAGGCCGAACTTAGGCAACTCTGATAAAGGATGAGCAAGTTAAAGGAAACCTTAGTGCAGTACAACCCGATCTCAAAGCATCGGCCCGTGACCCAGGAACAAGTCTTTAGCGACTAGATTTTAACATGTCCTTGATAATTCGATTCCTAGTGATGGTTTCTATTTTTCTGTGGTGCCACGCATGTAGGCAACACGGCTACAGGGAATATGCCATCTCTGGCAAGTAGTAAAGACGGATTCTTTGCCTTTTAGTAACAGGCTGGCCCATCGACGTTTGACATTTTTGTACTAGTTTCATTTTCAAGATGACTTGTGTGCACAATAATGAATTGTTGCCATATATGTTGGGTGCATCCTTGATTGTGGAAAGATAATTATTGCAAATTTCTCTTTGATAGATAAATTGTTTTTTCCGAAAATTTAAACTTCAGGAGATCGTTCAACAACGTGTACGTTGCACATTACTTAACATACTCTATGATACGAAATCGCCAATTGGACATTGACTCTCTTAACTCTAATACATCTAAGATAGCTACAATCTAAAAAAGTTGAATTGATTCAAGATGCTCACTTATTTAAGTCTGCAGTCAATCATCTCCAGCTAGGTGAGCGATTCGTCACCTTACTTTATAAATAAATTGTATAATCTTTAGTGACTGGCATCACTAATTTTACTGCACAACTTCATTCTCTTGGTAATTCCAAAGAATTACACATCCAAATGAAAATAGTACAGTTCCTTACAAAGAGATCACCGGCACTTCTATATCAAGAAGTAAATTTTATCAGATGTGATCTTTCTTGTTTGCTGGTAACATTTCCAATGAAAGTTCTCAACGGATGAGTTTATATCTTGTTGTGTCTAGAACTATATATTGCAATTTACTCATTTATTATATCCTTTTTTTCCATACTTATTTATGATGTCTTGAAAGTATGGACTTTCTATACGGGGATATATGTTAAGCGCTTCACAAATGTATTTTGTACTATCTGCAAGCTTGCATCTCCTGATAAAGTAGTGGAACCCTAATCCATCTTGTCCTGGAATCTGGCAAATGCTCCATGAGAGGACCATGTGATATGGGGTCCTAATGCCTGGGCATTCCATATAATATGTACTTAGTTGGGTCATTTCAATCCCTAACGCAGGACAGCAGGATCTCCTTCCTCACTGTCCACAGTTTCAGTAGAATCAAGCCACTGAAACAGCTCAAAGAAGCAACTTGAGCATGATAAATTCATCTTTCTTCAATGCATTTGCGTTGTGTAACAGGAAACTGCGTGGGAGTGGGTCGACATGAGCTTCTTTCTTCTTATCCTACATTTAGGGACTCTAAGCTAATATAACTTGGTTGTTTATAAAACCCAAGTCAAGCCATGAGCATGTGAAGTTGTATGCCTTTTGTGGCTACGATCCTTTGCTAGTTAAGAGCAAGGGGTTCCATTGG